CTCAAGCATGGCAACAGTAGTGAGGTTGGCCCAGGATCAGGCAGTGTTTTGTTCTGCTATGCATAAGGTCGCTATGGGTCGGTACCGACTCCATGGCGCCTAACAACAACAACAACTAATATTAGATATTATACTACTTAAAAATGACTTTATAATGTACCATTTTTCCTAAAAATAAAATTTAGTGGAAATTATAATTCTTCAAGATGTATTTTGAATACAAGGAATACTTACCAACTTGTTATATTTATTAAATGAAAATTTAGATATTAATTTTCATAGATCAATTTATTTAGAATTACAAATATCATTAAGAATAAAAGATTTATGCATTTCTTAATTAACATAACAATTTAGCTAAATATAAACTCTGCACTAAAGTTTTGCAGTGGCACGATACCAACAGCGAATACAGAAGCATTTTTTAAACTATACAAAAATTTCAAATGGAAAATAATCTTGTTTAAGTTTTATTTTACATTAACATATAAAAAGCCTCATTTTATGAGACATTTAAAAGAATCAAAACCACCTCTACAGCTATTTCTTAAACTCCAAATCTGAAAACAATTTATTATACTTTTAACTTTATAATATTCTATATTAAAACAAAGAAAATTCCAAATGCATACTTTTTACAAGATTAACATTTTAGATAGGGGTTTCCTTAAAAAGCTCCCCCAGAATCTCACTCCCCACCCCTACCCCCCATAAACAAACCTTTCTTCTGTATTTCACAGCACTGGTTATTATATGTGTTTTCCTTATAAAAAATTTTTTACTTTATAAGTTGTGTACTGTTGGATTTTAACCAGTAATCTGGTTTACAAATTGTGCAAATAAACAAAAAATATGAAAATAGTGTGTTATCAGTCTTTTTTATCTTTTTTAATACATTTCTTAACAATAGCACTTTTTTTGCCCTGAATCAACGGGAAAAGACTTGCCAAATTCACTTGCTGAAATTTAGCATTTTGCAGTAATGCTTTTCTCCTGTTCCTTCATTTTTATTTTTTAAAACAGACAAACAACAAAGGTTTCTTTTATAAATTATGATAAATTAAAACATTTAAAAATGATATAATGATCTATTAGAGCCATGTCACATTACAAGTATATGCTATATGTACTCGTAAAGTCCTTCTTTCCTAGCTCCATTCCAGTGGCTTCCTTTACAAAAAGTACCTCCTGTACTTCATGATGTCATTTTTTGAAGACAGAGATGCTGATCAACTAAATTAACTGAAATTGTAGTTTTTTAGTTGAATTTCCACACTGCCACCAGCATGCACAAAAAGACCATTTTCTTCTTGTTTTCCATTGTGGTAGTTGGGTTGATTTCATACACATTTAAAAAATGTTTAAAATATTCTTCCATGAAATTAATGTGTTCAGATGTTTTCAATTTAAAAATATTTTATAATAAACATATGTAACATAAGTAAAACTTCTGCAGTTGAATAATATAAAAGAAAAATATAATGCTGATCAGTAATGTTCGTTTAAGAAGCAGTACAGGATCTTAAAATGCCTTATTTGGAGATTTTAATTTCCCTTGTTTTCCAGCAGCTAGGTATTTGGTGTTGGAAGCCTACATAAAGGAAAAGAACTTCTCAAAAACAATGTCCTATGCAGTTGGAATAATTAAATCTTCTACTCAGTCTCTGTTGGTGTTATTTGCTGCAAAGGCATGTAAGTTTCCCATTTGGCTCAGGCCACTCTGAATATGTGCAACATGGATTTCTACATTATTCTGAAAGCAGCTAAATAAAAAAGAAATATGGTTAGTTACATTATTTCTCAAAATTTAGAAAAACAAGTTTTAAAACAGAAAAACAGAATTTTCATTAGGCTATTACTAAGATAATGACCTCAGGGAAAGATGAGATCTTCTCTTACACGTTAACCACAGAAATCTGGCAAGAGGATGAGCACCTCTTTAACTGGGGAAGCTCTATGTCTAACCTGACCCTCCACAATAAACCAAAATGAGGAACTTTTCCAAGAACTTTCTGAAGTCCCCTGGCATAAGTCTCTTGATCCCTTTATCTAAAACAAAAATCCATGTGAAATTTCTATTCTGTCAATTGACTGTATATAAGTCAATCTCTTTTAAAATTTATTCAAAGGATGAATTATATGAATAAGTCACAAATATGCATAATTCTTAAAATATGTACTGAAAATCACTATGAATTTAACTATTCAGATACACCTAATAGCTTACCTTATATTGGAAGGATCTATTGTACTCTTGATATCATTTAATGAATCTGTAAGTGATTTGAATTCAAAGGAATTCAGGTCTCCACCTTCTGCTAGACACTAAAAAAAACCACAACACACATTTAATTATAATTCAGACAGACATGAACTGCCTGATATAATCTACTGATAATTTCGTAGCAACAGATTATCATAGTTTTGTTTAGTGTCAAAATTAGGAAAACATTTTCTCTGAAATTTACCTTAATTTGTAATAAAACAGCTGTAAGTCTGGCGATTAAGTCTGTAAGACTTTCATTTTCAACACAGGGATGTCCCGTTGAGGAATTGGCTTGCCGAACAATTTCCTGTGCTTCTTCTTCACACCTTCGTCTCATATCTGTTGGTTGATCTGCAGGCTGGAGTCCCTGGTCTGGAGCGAGCTGAGTACAGATGATTGAAACATAAGCTGTGCATTCATAAAGCCATAGTTATTTCTCTCTGCGTACCCGGTTTTCAGATTTGGATTTTTATAAAACATTCATAATTTAAATGATGCTCACTCTTATCCTAGAAGTTAAAATGTTTTGAAAGACATGTGAAGTCATTTGGTTAGCTTTCATTTCATTTCTGAAATTTATGGTGACATAGCACTCCCAACAGATTCAGTATTTCATTCCAAACATTTCACCAAAACACCATGTACCTTTTATAAAGCATACATTGTTTTTCTTTTTCAGTATCTTGCTTGAGCATTTTAAACATTTTTGAGTAGATAATCCAATGGCATTAAACACATTCACAGTGATGCTATGAATAATATAGTACACATGAGTAAGTCAAAAAGTACTGCTATAAAATCAGACTGCAACTCCATATGAAATCATAGAAAACTTTATTATAAAAAATATCAAAATGAGACCTACACCTATGGAAGCAGTAGCTCAAAAGAGGGAACAAGTCCTTACAGCAAGGGTCATTCCCAACCCGCCACACACAGAATAGACAGTGATGGGCAACTTGGACATTAGCTACCCAAAATGGGGGGCGGGAGGCTACAAAGGCAAGAAGTGACTGGCTTACAAGCTTTCAAGAGGAAACCTAGATCCAGAGGGCCTGAAGGAAGGTAGAAACTCCAGTGAGTAGTATTCAATCTGACTAGGCGGGGCTGATGCAATGAAATGCAGACAGGTCTCTTGTGATACAATAATGAATAATTGTTATCAGGACTGATTGTGAGGGTTGGAAATGTAAAGGTAGACGTTTTATAGCAAGGAGGGGAGTGATTAACTTTTCAGTCTAGGAGGGTCCCTAGGACCATCAAGGGAGAAGAGCAGAGAGCGGGACCCTACCCAGAGAAGCAGTGATGTCTGAAATGGAGCCAGAGATGATGACGTGGAGTGATGGAGCAGCTAGAGACTTTAGCTCCAGAGAGGGAGAGCAACTGTGTGCTGAAGAACTGAGGGGTACGGGGGAAGGATTGCATGGAGGGGATTGTAACCATGGCAATGAGACGATATATGATAGAATGAATGTAAAACTAATGTTCTCCCATGTAAACTACCACATAATTTACAATAAAACATTTAAGAAAAAAAAAATCAAAATGTGACAGTATTGTTTTTAATGTATCCTCCATCTAGCTCTATACACCACTGAAGGTGGTGTTGCAATCTCTTTAACCCTTTACCAAAGAAGTTTGTGATATTTGATTTATACCATGTCAAAATGGCAGTTTGGACACCCTCAAGGAACTCAACTGTGTTCTTATTTAAAAATTCTTTGAGTTTGGGGAACAAAAGGAAATCTGAAGGGGCATAATCAAGACTGTAGGGTGTATGGGTAAGATTTCCTAATCAAGTTCTCATACGACAGTCCTTGTTACTCTCAAAGAATGAGCAAGTGAATTTTCGTGCCTGGCCTTTTCTCATCAAAACAGTTTTCAATTTTCCTTAAGCTCCTTCATAATAAGTACCTGGGATCATCATGTGTCCTGTGAGAAAATCTATCAAGCTTATCCCTTAAAATCCCTAAAAAAGTCACCATAATCTTCTGAGCTGACTTCTCTGCATCGAATCTAAGTGGCCTATCGGATCCCCTCTCACCACTTGACTATCATCAGTTTGTCATACTGTGGTGGTTTGCTTGTTGCTGTGATGATGGAAGCTATGCCACAGGTATTTTAAATACCAGCAGGGTCAGCTATGGTTTCAGTGGAGGTTTCAGTGGAGTTTGCAGACCAAGACAGACTAGGGAGTAGGAGAGTCAGACTATTTCTGAATGGTTAGACACTACTGAAAAACTTGCGAATAGCAGTGGAACATTTTCTGATATAGTGTCGGAATATAAAACATGATTATCAGCAGAATATTATCAGATATAGTGCCAGATGATGAGCTCCTCTGGTGGGAAGGTACTGAAACTACAACTGGGAAAGAGCTGTCTCCTCAAAGTACACTTGACCATCATGATGTAAATGGAGCAAAGTATTCAGGACCTTCATTTGCTGATGGGGCACAACTCAAATGAGGACAAACAGCTGCAAACATCCATGAAATGTATGTTGGAATTTCATGTATGGAACATGAAATGTATGAATGTATGAATCTAGGAAAACTGGAGGTTGTCAAAGTGAAATGGAATGCATAAAGATCAATATCCTAGGCAATAATGAGCTGAAATGGATTGTTATTGGCTATTTTGAATTGGACAATCATGTGGTTACCATGCTGGGAATAACAAATTCAAGAGGAATAGCATCACACTCATTGTCAAAAACAAGATTTCATGATTCGCCTGAAGCATAATGTTATCTGTCATAGGATAATATCCACACACCTATATGAAAGATGATTTATATTACTATTTTTCAAATTCAAAAACCACCACAACTCGTATGTTAGTTTATTATACTGTGGCGACTCGTGTGTTGATATGATGCTTTTAGCTATGCTACTGGAATTAAAAATACCAGCATGTACACCCATGGATGACAGATTTTGTTTTTGACAAACATGCAACCCAGATGTACTGATGTATTGATGTATTGTACTGCCATTGGAATGCAAAGGTGGAAACAAAAGGAAGGATCAGCAGTTAGAAAATATGGTCTTAATGATAGAAACAATGCTGGAGATCACATGATAGAATTCTGCAAGACCAATAATGTGCTCATTGCAAATATCTTTAAACAACAAAAAAGATGACTATATACATGGGCCTCAACATATGGCATACACAGAAATCAAATTGACTCCATTAGTGCAAGGAAGAATCAATTGAAAAGCTCTGTATCATCAGCCAAGACAGGTCCAGGGGCAGACTGTAGAACAGACTATTAATTGCTCACATACAAGTTTAGGCTCAAGCTGAAGAAAATTAAAACAAGTCCATAAGAATCAAAATATGATCTTGACCATATCCCACCTGAACTGAGAGACCATCTCAAGAAAAGATTTGATGCATTAGACACTAGTGACCAATGACCAGAAGAGTTGTAGGACAACATCAAGAACAGCATACATGAAGAAAGCAAAAAGTCAATAGGGGAGAACAAAAAAGATGGCAGATCGGGCAGAAGTGCTGTGAGGTGCTCTGTAAGCAACAACACAGAATACCAGACAAAGCAGGCTCAGAGGATGGTGCCGGAACTCTGAACCACATATAAAGGAATATTTAGAAGGTTGGAAGGCTTACGGCTAGGGGAATTTGTAGCAGAAGCAAGAAATCCATTGCTTTCTAATTCAAGATGCTCATCTGCTCCAGGAGCCACCATCTTGGGAGAAACCAAGCGGGGGAAGGATCAGAGCAGCCATGGATGCCTGACAAAACTGCAGAGATAAAGGTGTGGACATTCCTTTTTTTTTTTCTATCTGTTCATTGGTCTCTCACTGTCTGCACACCTCCATTCAAGTGACTACAGAGGGTGCCTGAGCGAGTGCACACCATACCCCACCACTGGAGGGTTCTACCACACAAGAGCACAGGTATCTTTTAAAATTAAAGGGACAGTTGCCACTTAAAACCAAACAGTGGTACCCCCTTCCAAGAATAAGACTCAATGGGAATACACGCTCTGATTGGTGAACACACTTGTCACCGATAAGGGGAAATGAGGGAAAAACAGCAATGAAGTGGCAAGCTAAGCCCTACAATGTGGAGAGTGAAGCATGCAGCTGATAAAAAGAGACGGGATATGCACAAGAACACCCACACGTGCAGATAATACCCACTTGACCTGACTTCAATGACTGGATGATCAGAGCTCCACCAGAAGAAGAAAGAAGAGGGAAAAAAAGAGTAATCTGATACAATTTGATGAACTTGACCTACACCTATGGATGCAGCAGCTCAAAAAGAGGGAACAAATCCTTACGGCAAGAATCATTTCCACCCCCTCCACACACAGAGTAGACAGGGATGGGCAACCTGGATATTGGCTACCTGGCTACCCAAAATGGGGGGG